TGCTAGAAGAAATACAATATAGTTTGATAAAAGATTTGCTGAATACATGGAGCTAACTATAGACACCCATATCTCTAACTTAATTGTTATTAATTGTTTACTAAGACATGGTTTGCTACAATTGCTGGGTTCATATAGCAAGCTAAAGTCTAAACCAAACAATTCACATCACATCATTTACTGAGTTGAGTAAAACCTGCCTTTGTTTTAGTTTCTGTTAAGTATTCTACAAAGAAGGCATTTGGGGGCTACTTCTCAACTAACTTTCATACAGAAATTTTATTGGGAGTAGCAGCAATCATATACAATTGGCATTCTTTACCTCTTGGCTCAGTGGCCCTGGAGCAACCACCTTTGAGTTTAAGGCCTGCTGCAGACCTTTAATCCTCAGGGGCTCTGTATAAAGAATGCAAAGTGTCAAGGCTAAGGATGTCTCTTCCCGCAATCCTCGTCATCTGATACCATTAGAACAAAAAAGGCTCATAAAGCAGCAGAATGGGTTTAAAATAGCTCAGTGCAGCAGGAATTGACCTTTCTGCCAGCAATGCTTTATTAGTCAAAAAGAAGAAATAGGACTATTTCCCTGGAGGCTTACTGTTATGAATGAAATAGTGGAACATGATGAAGGGCCATAAGAAAGGAAGTATTGGCTCTTGTTCACAAGTGTTTCTCTCCAAGGATTATGCAGATACCCCAAAGCAATTTTTCTGGCAAGTAAGGAAAAAATTTTAGGGAGTAAAGAGCTGCTTCCACTGTTGTCACACACATTCCATTGTTTAGTGACTGCTCCCAGTCAAACCTAAATGCTATGGGCCTGGGTGGTGGTGGTAGAGTGGCCTAAGAGGTGCAGAACTTTTTTGGCCTGAAGTCCACATCAGCTTTTGAATGGTGTGTGGTGGTTACGCTGGAAACCTTCAAAAAGGGCTACAATTACATGAAATATTAATATTTAGTAACACCTGTTTACTGTGGTGACCATCCCTCCAATCTCAATTCCCAGGATTAAAGTACTATATGGCCAAAAACAAAAAACCCCATTCTTCCATATGCAAGAGTCTTGCAGAGTGGAGATGCCAGCACATGGTAGAGAATAATGAGAGTGGGCAGTTAGATCTTGGTGGGCAACAAAATCTGGAGAGACAGGGTCCCAGATGGTGGGTCGTAGTGCAGCTGTTGTTTCAAGCTGCGTAAGACTGTTTAAGTCAATCTGCAGGACTTTCCAACATAGTCCATGGAACCATAGAAGAAAACAAAGGGAGTACACAAAGATGTTATTTATTGAGATAGTAGTTTCTAGTGTCTCCCACTTAAAGGAGATCTTTGAAGATGTGGGACAGGTTGACTAAAACTTGTCCAAAGTTTCCTTTAGGCAGGAGCTGAGTGGTTTCCATCTAAAAGCTTTTAAGGTAATGATTGGATAAGCTCTTCCCCAAATTAATTAGGGCTAACAGATCTGAGATCTGTTAAACACAAGATAAACACAAAATGAGTTTATTTGTATCCCAGATGTGTGGTAGCTCTAAATTAGTGTATAATCTGTATCAGCCCTACCTGGCATAGGGCCTGGTTACTTGAGGAACCGCCTGTCTCCCATAGTACCTGCCTGACCGGTTCAATCTGACAGGGTTGGCATGCTCCAGGTTCCATCAATTAAACAATGTCACCTAGCAGACCCCGGAAGCATGTTTTCTCTGTAGCAGTGTCTGCCCTCTGGAATGAATGGCTCCCACCCTGTTGGCATTTCAAAGGCCTTAAAGACCTTGTTCTTTGCCCAGGCCTTTGGAGAGGATGACTAATGTCCCTTTCTTCCTTTCTGTTCCCCTCTGAGTTTGTTTATTTAGGTTTTTTTTGGGGTCATCATTCTTTTGTTTTGTGCTGTTTTTGTGCTTTTTTTTATTGTTTTTTTGTTTTTAAACGTTTTAACAATTGTAAACTCCCCAGAGTCACTGAGAGTCAGGCAGCATATACATTTATTTATTTATTATATTTATTTATTCATATATATAGGTAGTCCTTGCTTAATGACCGCAATTGGAACTGGCAATTCTATCACTAAGTGATGTGGTCATTAAGCGAGACATTACCTGACTGCGACGGACTTACAACCTCACTTCCACTGTGGTTGTTAAGCGAGATATCACATGATCAGAACATGCGATTTTACTGCTGGTTGCTCCATTGACTGTTGGAAGCTGGCTGTGAAACACGCAAATGGCACTCACGTGACTGTGGGGATGCTGCAATGGTTGTAAGTGCAAGGATTGGTTGTAAAGTTACTTTTTCAGCACTGTTGTAATTTCGAACAGTCACTAAACAGCAGTCATTAAGCAAGGACTATATATGTATAGATATATAGTATGCGTGTATGTATATAAAATTTATGTGAATAGAAAAAGCAAAGCTTAAGGATAGCTAGTTACAATGCCTAAGTTAACAAAATAATTCTGAAAAGAAAGCATTTTATTTAATGTTGCACAGAACAATGTTAACCGAATTATCCAGCACTTTTTAAAGTAAAATAAATTATAATTATGGAGGCTTGCAGTTGTTTAAATGATGACACCATGTTTTATTGCCTTCTAAAGAATTTACACATGCGGTAGGTACCTAAGATGCTGCTTTTTTAACTGAACCAGTTCTAGTTGGTACTCATTAAAGTGGTAAAGAAAACAGACAAACACACCTGTCAAGAAAATGAAGCAAGCTAGGAAAGAACAAACATGCCATACAAGATGAAAATCATTAAATTGTTAACCACAACCATTAGAAAGAAAATGGCCATTTTTCTTATCAGTAACATACCCATTTCAAAACTTATTCAATGTTTGTTGAGCTACTAAACTAACACATTAATGCTTACTGTTGCTACTTATAAACTACTGTCAATGCCCACTTGGAGTTAGACAAGCAAAAATATGGAATTAGAAGAAGTCTAGCAGTTTAAAATCTAAACTATACAAAGCCAAAATCCTTGTGTACAAATGTCATTTTCTTGTTTCCAGGATATGGAGGAGCAAGAACTTTACCAGTCATGCATGGCAAAGTCTAGCTCCTGTAATCATCATATATTTCCTGAATATTGCAAGGAGGTTTTTATGGTTTAAAATTCACCAGCAAACTAAATTTTCATGTCCAAATAGGCTAGTCTACAATCTGCATTAAACTATTTTGGATAATTGATTGTGCAATTCTTACATAGCGTATTTTATTTGTACTACTTGTGAAAAGGACTAGCACAGAATTCTACCCTGATCCTTGGAAATGCCTTGTCTGCCCCCTGCCCCTGGGCATTGTTTTGCACATTTTCAAGCATGTTATATTTGCAACTGTGCAAGCCAGCGCATTGAACACTTTTCAAGCCTATAGCAATTGTAGGAAGATGCAGCTAAAGAACTTTTAGAAATCCTTCCTTTTCCAAGGTAAGTGAGAATAACAGTAAACTCTGATCTCCACTCCCCAGTGTTCCTGCATTTGTTCTACTCAATTGCTACTGCTTCTGCAAATCTTGGAAAATCTAGATATTCTTAAATATTGAGAAAATATATATACATAGTAAGACACATGTTGACCTAAACATTATTAGACTGTAACCCTTATATGTTGTTGTCTGGAAGTATGCTTCATTGTAATCAGTGGGATTTATTTCTGAATGAATAGGAGTGCACTGTTAAACACAGTCCACCACAATTTCTTTTCAGTTATCACTTCTAGATAATATCATATTATCACAGTCCAAGCTATGAAACTTTTTCCTTTTCTAATGAAGTGAACCCTAGGGGGAAAAAATTCTCTTCAGGGTGCTTCAAGGTCCCAAGTCTTCCAGGGAGAAGAATAACACTTCAGCCACTTTATCATTTGAACACTTGATTTCAAGACCAATCTCAGTACCAGGTATGGACTGAGATTGGGGGAAGAAGGTTGACATTTCCTGCAGCAGGAAGAGTGAGACTTAAATGAGTATTATTCAGATGAAGTGAAAAATATGATGAGTTGTTCTGGAAGCTCATCATTTACCAAAAAAAAAAAAAAAGTGTGTGTGTGTGTATCAGATTAAAAAAAACATTTAAAATACTTGGTAGATTTGCAGCATACAGTAAACAGCATCACTGAAAGACCCAGCATGTCATGCAAACCCAGAAACTCTGTCAGGACTGGGTTTGAGCAACCCCAAATAACCACAAATTAGTTTTGGGGTATACTTTAAGCCAGCCAGCCTGGATGAGAGGATGAGGTGAAAAGACTGCAAATTATTTGACCAGTGATCTGTAGGACAATGATAAAACTTTGTATTTCCAAATTATTCTTGTGGACTTACAGTTGGAATTCTCCTTAGCTCTGGCAATGAATGCAGTACCACTAACCCTCTACTGCCCCTTTTGTTTAGGTTTGTGGAGCATACAGAGAAGTCTGAGATGGGCTATGCTTTTGAACAAGAAAATAAAATATTCTCAGAGCTGCACAGTGCTTGAGATGTTGCACAAATAAAAACGTCCACCGGTTATGCTAGTTTTTTCTCTTTAACTTCAACAGTGAGGATATCTCCTTCTCCAGATACAACTGAAGGAACCATGCTAATGACGAGGGCTTGGTTCGTGATGCCTCCGAGCATCTGTGCTAATGGTGGTCGTGGCAGAGGAGAAGGTTGTGGTCTGATGTAAGCAACTGCCTCTTCTTTAGGAGCATGTGACTCAGCCTGTGTTTCTGGGACTTTCGTCTTGAGCTCTTGGGCTGGTTTTTTTCCCTGTAGGTTTGGTTTGAAGCTTTCTTTTTTCCTTTTTTCTGCCTTTTTTCTTTCTTCATTCTCTTTCCTTGCTTGTTCTTCCTTGGCTTGTATTTCATTTTCTTTCTGGGGGGGGGAAAAAAAGATTATATTAACTTATCCTCCCCCGCCACCTTTCCCTGTTTTTTGCTCCCTCTTCTTGCTTATTCCTCCTTTATATTTTCTTTCTGAACATAAACTAAATGTTATTAAATAAGGATGCTTGACTGAATGCAAAACCTCACAGCTTTGTCCATAGTGGCTAGAGGAACACAGTCTCCCACGCACAGCTACTAGGCAACCCATTCTCACTTCAAAGTGGTTTTCTGGTCATGGACCACAGTAAATAATTGACTGACTGATGTTGTACCTGGAATCCTTCACAAGTTCTACTAAGATGAGAGGTTGCTGTATAAACAGTCTCAGAACTTCCCAGAAGTAAATTTCATCATAAAATATTGTATCTCTAATATATTATCATTTGGTTCTACCAGAATAGTTTTAAGAATGTTTTGTTACTTTTTAAAACTCATATATATCAGTCTCATATATCCCTTTGCACATTTCCCAATATTTCTAAATCTTGTGGATACCCGATATATGTCTATTCAAACGTTTTTCACTGGTATAACTGAAAGAATGCATGCCTGCTATAGCATCAGTAAGGCATGTTATCCAGATATATTTTACACTTGTATCAGCCTCTTTCAAAATTCTGTGTTGTAGACCACACAATAAGTTTTATATTCAAAGTATGTTTCAGGTGCTGTGTATGAAAACTGCTCTTCAACTCCTAAAGATAGTTGCAAAATTAATTTCTGAAATTATTTTTACTAGAAGCTAGAGTCCTGCATTTCAGTTGTTTCTTTAATTTGATCCATTTCCCCCCTTCTTCATTCTACACAGGGTTAGCACTTCACGTAGGCAGATATATACCTGGGCTGCCTTCTCTTTCTTCAACTTGCTAATTGCTGCTAAAATACCTCCTTTCTCATCAGTTAATGCTTTGAGCATCATAGGTGCTTCTTTATGCATAAGGAGAGCCAGGCCTTTTACAGGTTGTGGTGGCCCTCCAACAGGCTTGCCTGTCTTCTTCATGAGTATTCTAGATTGTAGAAAAAGAAGAAGAGAGTGGGAAAAAGCATCAAGTATAGCATCAAACTAGACAACCCATGACCTGTTGGGTCATAATTTCAGAGATATTTCCTTACTGAAACAGAGAAACAGAATGACCAAGGGCAAAAAAGCAGTGGGAATATGAGCGACTTGTGACTTGCTGCCAACTTCCCCATTGACTTTGCTTATGGGAAACTGGCAGGGAGCATCAGAAATCTCCCTCCCTCCCTCCATATAATGGAAGCTCGTGCTGTTTGCCCTCCACTCATGACCCTCAGGAGAGCCCTGGTGAAGCTGCCGCCTCCTCCTCCTCCTCCTCCTCCTCTGACTACTGGAACTGCCTGCCTTGCTGGGGGGAGGTGGAATAAAGGGAGCCATAGACCATGAGGAAAACTGCACCCCTGCTCCCATTTCTGGTGTCATCAAGGGACTCCTCCCTTGAAGGAGGAAGAGGGTCATCCATTGACCACCAGCAACCCCCAGCTAGCTCTACTTTGCCAGCAGGCATCCAAGTTATTCCCTCATCCTTCCCTCAGTGCCCACAGCTGTTAAGAGATTTCAAATTTCTACCTCCTTTCCAAAGCAGCCAATTGCCACTTGCCCATCAGACCTTACTGCCAGCCGATTGGGCACAGGGAACAGAGGGAGGCAGGAAATTGGTCGGGGATATGCCCATGACGTTCACATGACCTGGGCTGACCAAGGTGGCGTAGCAGCACAGCAGTGCTGAAGCAGCCAGAAATTCCCCAAATTTCAATCCCATGGGAATAATGGGTCCCAAATTTTGGACGCGTTCTGTAACTTAGCCCATTTGAGGTACCTTGGTTCAGAAACTGTTGCCCTATGACCCACTGTTTCACCCAGTTTAAGGTTACAGACATGAGAATTTTAGTAATATACTGTATAGATGCTTCTCAATAACTATTCTAATCTCTATTAAGTCTACCAATCCTAGTTTCCTAACTAGCCAATGAAATGCATGCTGCTGTTCTACCAACTTCTGCTGGACACTTGGGCCTCATCTTATGCCTGATCTTTGTTTCCATTATTTTTAACATTTTAAATTTTATCTCTCTCTTGTTTCCAAGTGAATGATAGCATATATGGTTCTCTCTCCCCTTCTCCTCTGTCATCTACTACTGCTGCTGCTGCTGCTGCTGCTATTATTATTATTATTATTATTAACAAACAAGTCTGCGTTCCTTGTGTATTGATAATTTACTTTCAGTCTTGGTTCACGAAAAATGCATATTCTTCACCCAATTGTATTTGTTTCCTTTAACTTCTAAGCATTTTCCACTTCATTTCCCACTGCATAGCTAGTGACTTTTTTATTTCATAAAATGCAGGAAATTCCTTGCAAGAACTTTAATGCGTATCAAGGATGGATGAATCACATAGCATCTAGCCTACTCTAGGGATAATATGAAAGAATGGGTTTCTTGGTTGTCTTTAACCCCTGTAAAGGTATTAATCTGAATAAAATTCCATGGACAATTAAATGTATAATTGCCTCCTCCTGAATCAGTACAGAAATAGCTCAGGGTGGGTGTCTTGGCTTAAAGAATCAGTGTCAGACCAAAGAAAAAATCTGCTAAATCATCCCAAAGGTCCATTTATTCCAGTACCCTGTTTCTACAATGGCCAACCAAAACGTTTCCAGGTATTCCACGTCTAGACAGGAAAGCAACAGCTATCAGTTAATAAACCTTGAGATCAAGCTTGTACATAATCATCATAGTGATCAGACAACATAATTTTATACTGTATTTCGCTCCATTAAAATAGTATTTTGCATGGATTTTTTTTGATATACATGCATGGTAGATGAACAATTTGTGCACTATGACAGCAGCTTGGAAATAATCCATTTAGTTTGAAAGATAAATGCTTACTTTTTTTTATTTTTATTTTATCCAGAGAAATGCACTTAGGTAGTTTGAAACTGCAATAAATAAATACAATGAACATACCTGAAACAGGCTAGAAATGGTAAAAAAACAAAACAAAACCTGAAGAATCTAGCAATAAGTGTACAGTCATCTCTCTTGTTGTAAGGCTACATTTTGAGGGGGGAAAAGCCTCTCTGTGTCAGAAGTGAGTTTCTTAATGTTATTAATCAGGATATGACACTACATTGCTTAGTAAGAATCTCTAAGTACCTCCATGTACTCTTGGCATGAGACAAGAACTTTAATACCTTTTGCTTAGAATGGTGTTTTTCAAATTTGGCAACTTTAAGATATATGGACTTCACCTTCCAGAATTCCATGCACATCTTGAAGTTGTCTTAAAGTTTGAAAAACACTGGTTTAGAACTATACTTCTTGATATATTAACCTTGAATTCTCTCTCCTCCAGCACTACTTTATTTATAATAATGTCCCTCCTTTGACTTGTGAATGTAATACTAAGATCATGGCTAAGATACTATGTTGTATCATAGCAGTTAGCATATGTTTCAGCAATATATATTTTTTTCTACACATAGACATAAAAAACAGTCTTTCCTCTTAGTTAATTGTTCTATAGTTATGTGAATGGACATACTTTCCCTTCTTTCTCAAGAGCTTTTCAGATTCAGGATAATGCACCAGGATTTCATTCAGTGTCTTCTTGTCAAGAATAAAAAGGTTGGCAAATCCATGAGCGATCACATTTGCAGTCCGCCGATTTCCTCCACTGGCTGCTAATAGGCTGAAAGGGCAAAACAAATAGCCATCCTTCTGTTTCTAATTAGCCATCCTATAAACAGCTTCTCCTACAGTTGGAATATATTACTGATCTTTAATTTGAATAAACTATTTGGCAGGTCAAATGTCTTACTCTTTGGCCTGTGCTTTGTGGACATGGAGAATATATGTTCTCTGAACGGTTCCTGATATTTTTAACATTTGAAAATGCTATATCCCCAAATGGGTTCTTGTCTGTCCCAGTTCTCTCTCATGTTCTTCACGTAAAAACTTGTCAGTATTTAACTTCAGCTATTTCTAGCCTTGAATTTAGCATTGGATAGTAGGAAGCACAAGGCTAGCATACTTTGGAGTAGACAATCTTTTTTGGAGGCTAGGTACCAGCAGTGGATAGGAAACTCCTTTCTCTCTCTTTTACCTGCACCATCCATTCATACATACACATTCTCCATCATTCAAACAAAGGACAGTATAAGACATGCCTAGCAAGAGGGAAAGGGTAACTGCATTCAGTGAGATCAATAGCTGCAAATGTCCCCTTTCTCTGATCGGTGAGTTATTCTAAAACTTTTGTTAGTAAAATATTAGAATGAAAAACATCGCTTTTGAAAGTGTTAGATCAAGCCTGAATTATTTGTGACCATAAATCTAAATGAAGCCCAATAGTTCTTTATTCTTGCATATGATTCTTGACCCTGGAGAACCACTTTACATGAAAGGCAACCTATGTTTGGCCTATTGGGAAGACATCACAATCTGGTCTCATTTAGATAAGACTTTTAAAGGAAGGTAAAAGGGGTAAGATAATTGGAATTAAAGCATATCATTGTGAGTGAGAACCTAAGATTGGTCTCTAATTACCTTCTTGGTATATTGTTCAAATTCATATGCTGCTTCCATTTATTTTTTATTTTGTTGCAAAAGGTCTAAACTAGCTTTACCCATCTTAGTGCTGTCAGATACACTGGAACTCTCAATAAGATGGCCTGGGAATTGTTGGCTGGGAATGATCTTAACATGTAATGGATGGTATGAGTGAGGAAGATACTGGAATGGAGGATCAAGGTTATCAGGAGGGAGGGGGAACTTTCCAGAGCAAGCGCTTTCTCAGTCCATAGCAGGAGCGTGGGAAGGCAAAGAGGATGAGGACAGCCCCTCCCTAGAGTCTCACGGGGTATATCCACTAGTTGCTTTAGCATAGGTTTAATCTGGCAAGATTCTGTCTATTAGGAGTGAGCTAATAAAGGAATGATATTGGACTGGACTGTCTCATCATTCTTCTAGGGCTGGGCATGACACAACATAGCTGGACAGCTCCATCTTTAATTTAAGGTTCACGGGAAGGGCCATAGCCCAGTGGCAGACAATATGCTTAGTATGTAGATGAACTCAGATTCTATCCCTTTAGAAGGGTAATTAGTGACTAAAAAAAAGATTTCTGCAGAAGAACTGGGAGCCACTGCCAGACAGGGCAGATAAATAATCTGATTTGTGAATCCCTATGTTATGACTATTTCAAATGCAATAGCCATTGAAAAATGGTTTTAAGTTTTATCTGTTTTTATGGATTTTTTGGTTTTGTATGCTACCCAGAGTCCTTCAGAGTTGGGTGGCTATAATAAATTTAAATAAATAAAAAATTAATTAAATTGAGAGAAAAAAATCCCATTAGATTCCACTTGTTTTGTATAATACTAGAACTAGTACAATCCAAGCCAGAGTCAGTGCAGATGTATATCTAGTCCCATACAAAAAGAAAAAGGGACATATTGACTGAAATTACATTGTGGTGAAATGTTAATTCAGATAAGACACAGGACATTCTTTTACAGCCTTTTACAAGTACTAAGACTGTACAAGGGCCATTTACAGCCTGACCTGACTTCTGGTCTAATAATATTGGAAAACCTGTCTTGATTCATTCCTGATCCTGAGTGTCATTAGAAAAAACAGAGCGTCACCATCCCATTAACTGACAGAGGAAAAACACAAATGCCAAATGGTCCCAATAATTTTTTTGTATTGATTAGAATGGGATGAAATGTTCAGGGAAGTTAGAAACATATGCAAGGTTTAAGTTAATTCACTTTCATAGAAATCAATGCAGGGGCTCTTGCATAATCCTCTTTTATAATCTCAGTTCTTAAAGCTGTGGTAACTTTTCATGTTAACAAGGATAGTGAGATGATTATAAGGGATGAAGTGTGCCATATTTCACAGAATTAGTGCACAGATTTTCAGGTTTCATCATCTTTTGACTGTAGCAGTTGCTTCTCAGAATGCTTCTGCAATGTTCCCAGGAGCATGTGGCTTGGCTAGCTTGACAGAGGCTAGGATCCTCAGATTCTCAATACTGCCCCATATGCTAATGCCCACAGAAAGAATTATCCAGGGCAAAATGGAACAAGATGGTGGGAGATGCTGCTTACACATTAAAGACAGGAGGAAGTCAGTCAAGAACGCTGTATCTTGCTTAACATCAGAGAGTAGGGAGAAACTCTTGCTTGTCCTGATCTGTGATGGCAGGCACATTTCCTCTGTGGAAATGGTATTCTTATAATAATTTGTTAAAATAGCTATTTGTTTAGCTCTCTGAAACATTCACAAGATGAACCAACAAGAATACCTGATTTCTCCAAATACGGCTCCTGCTCTCAAGGTCACCAGGACTTCAGTGCCATCAGGACCTCCAAGTACTTGAACCTCACCACCTTTAATGATATACATTTCTCTACCAATTTCTCCCTAGATGCACACGATGGGGCAAAAGACACATTATTCATCATATCTAATTATGTTGGATGTTATCTGAGGAGGAATTACAGTTAAACAGAAGATTCCATTTTCAACCTGGTGAACTGTCCGCAAACTGAATTCCTTCTCTCCACAGTATTGGCTAATGAAACAGCTTTCTTCTATGTGGCAAGGCAATTCATCTTTCTCCAAAGATTATCTTAGATGGATCATTATTAATTATAGTTTTAAGTGAGGACTGAGACTGCTCTGGATTTATATGTGGGATAATCTACAGTAATCTATGGGAGTACCATACCCACATTAATTTTCTTGGACATCTATCTCAGCAGCTTTCAGTATCTTTGACCAATTTGGAACTGTTGAACCTTGAAGTCACTGTACTGCTATGGACCTAAACATTTTTCTATGAGAAGAAGATAGACTTCCCCTCTACTGTCATAGGTACCTGGTTTAACTAAAACGTTACTTTTTGACCTGCTTTGAGCATGCTTTGGTGGGGTGGTCTTTATTTTTTTTCTTCCAATTCAATTTTATACCTTGTTTTCCTGAAGCTGTATGCATCTTTCTGAGATTTTTTTTTTCAAAAAAATAATTTAACTATAGTGGGGAATGAGGAATGACTCACAAATGCAGTAACACCAGGGCTATTATGTCTGGGTTGAAAAAACATGGATGGCTGTTAGAGATGTAGAAAACTCGCTCTTTGCTGGCATCTAATGGCTATCTGGATTTTTGCAGGCCAGTTAGGATAGCCTTAATAAGATGCAGCTAATCACTACCCTGTAGAAAGAGATGTGAAGCTGGGAAGGAAGTACCTTTCTGATTGTCACAAGAATTAACTGGTTAATTCTTTCCATCCCTAGCTTTTTCTGCTAAATGGAAGAATTGGTTGCTCTGGAGCTTAAGATTTGCACCTTTGCTTCAGGTCTAAACATGTATTGTCTAAAGAGATTCTCTATTTTGAGAAAGATGAATTGGTTTGATAACCCCCTTTTATAGCTCCTCCTTAACTGGGAAGATTAACCTTCACAGAGCTTATTCTCATAGAGTGAATAAACTTTCTCCTAAATAGATGATAGTCTGTTATAAATATCTGTTTAAATTCACCTTGCTTCTTTCAGCCTCCAAGACAAGCACAGCAACAACAACCCAAACAAATGAAACAATGCACATTCAAAAGTAAATCAGCATTTTAATTATTTTCCTAACGATCATTTGCATAATTTCAAAGGGAAAATCAAGAATAATCAACCAACCAAAGCATCTGCCGTTTCTTGCATATTTACCAGCTCATTTGCGAGCTGATTAGCATCCAAATGAAGCTAATTATACCTGGACAAATAGAACTGAAATGTCTAAGCTTGTGATTTT